GCGACCACGGCGTCCTCCTCAGCCTGGCCGCCATGCTGCAGTCCGGGGCCCTGCGCAACCTCAGCCGTCTGGAGCTGGCCGACAACGGGCTGCTGCTGCTGCCCGCCGGCATGTTCATGGCCCTGCCCGCCCTGCGGCAGCTGGACCTCAGCAACAACTCCCTGGTGGGCCTGCGAAATGTCTCCTTCCAGGGGCTGGGCCAGCTGCAGAGCCTCAACCTCAGCAACAACTCCCTGGGTGTGCTGAGGAATGGCACCCTAGCCCAGTTCCGTGGCTTGCCTGCCCTCCGGCACATCGGCCTGGGCCGTAACACCTGGGTCTGCGACTGTGCCATTGAGGACCTGGTGGCCTGGCTCAAGGAGAGCGACCAGGTGGAGGGCAAAGAAGCCCTGACCTGCGCCTACCCTGACAAGATGCTGGGCAAAGCACTGCTGAAGATCAATGGCTCGGACCTGAACTGCTCCATGCCCGTAGACCTGCCTTCCCAGCTACAGACTTCATACGTCTTCCTAGGGATAGTCTTGGCTCTCATTGGAGCCATTTTCCTCCTGGTTTTGTACTTGAACCGAAAAGGAATCAAAAAGTGGATGCACAACATCCGAGATGCCTGTAGGGATCACATGGAGGGCTACCATTACAGATATGAGATCAATGCAGACCCCAGGTTAACAAACCTCAGCTCCAACTCCGATGTCTGACAAAGCGCCACGGATGTGGGGCAGCACACAGTAGCTATGCATGAAAAAATAGACTTATGCTTTACCCTCGTGCTTGCTTCCCTTTCCCCGGAGAAATCTCAGATGTGCTTGTAACATGAGGGGGATATTCCTCCCTGTGACGTCAAGTTCAATTTTGTTTTGAGATGCTGGGCAGCTGCGCATGGCGTTGGGCTGTATGTAGGAAACAAGCTGCTACTTCTTTTCTTCCTTACCTGTCTATACTTGTGGGAATTTTTTTTTCAAGATCTCGAAAGAAAAAAAGGATTCTTTCTGATGTTCCAAAGCCACCAGAGTTTATAAAAAATTACTGATGCAGACACCATTCAACAAAAGCTGCCTCAACTTTTTGGGAAAAAAATATTATGTTCCTCTGTGCCAGTTTTAATCTTGTATATCCGAATTGTGATGACAAGGATTCAATTTCATAGATTACCTTGAGATTTAAAAAAAACAAACTCCTTTTAACAACTCCTCTGTTACAAAGAAGGAAATCAAATAGTGAGCATGCACAAATACTTTATAGTTTTACATGTTAGGAAACTTACGATCTCAGTAAGTCTCTTACTATTTTGTAAAGTTATTTTTGATTGCAGTTTACATGAAAAGAGAGGGTTTTTATACAAACTGCATCTAAACTCCATCTGAACTGTTAAATTCAATAAACAGTCTTACAAGAACTGCTGTGTTGAAGTTTGCTGCTCAATGAGAAATGAATGGACATTAAGAATGTGGATAGCTTTATAGTCGCTGAAGTAATAGCCCTGCAGTAGTAATCTGAATAAAATTTTATACAAATGTGTAGCTTAGAGACATAAATGTTTGACATTTTTGTGAAATATGCTAGGAGAATTACACCAGTCAATGATGAGAGCAGTTTCACCGGGCACAAAACCTGCGGTCTGCTCTGAAAACAACTGCAAAATGTCAAGACAGATGCTAGGGTCCACCTTGCTGGGAAGGTATATGCTGATAGAATTTACCTAAGGTCTTCTCTACTAAATTTAAAAAAAAAAAAAATCATTCAAATGAAGTTGTGGAGATTGTAGGCTAAAGAAAATTTTACCTGAATGGAATTGTTTATTATAAAAAAACATACTTTCATGTCCTGAACTGAATTAAATGCAGCTCAGTCATGTAGTCAGCGAGCTTCAGGCTTGTAAATCAATGCAGCACATAATGAATTAAGTGCTTGCTGTTTCATTTTAAGCTCTTGGTACTCGTGAAGTTCTGTAGAGATCTACATCGAGTAACTTGGTGGAACTTTACATTTATCTTAAAGCTTTATATCAGGTGCATTTCAGTATTGTGTGTTACTCATGCTTATTACTTGCTTGGGAATGCATTTTCTTGTAAATAGATAAAGCATGCAAAGAAAAACTTCAAAAATGCATCATTTAATATGCAACTCTGATGACATTGAAAAGGTTAGCAAGAACCTTCTAATGGTCACCAATAATTAATGCACTTTTTCTAATCCATTTATAGATTCTTAATGAAAAAATACACCAACTGTAACAGTGTGATGTGAATTGGTATCTCTCAGTATATATATCTGTGGAGCTTTTTTTCCATGGTTGCTGTTACTTGAAGCTCTTGAGCATCTCTAAATTTTTGTGAATTACTGGCAAATGCCCTTCGCTTTCAAAAGTGACAGTTTTGTCACAGATATACACCTTTGATAAGAGCTCATAAATATAAAATAGTCCTTAAAGTATCAGAAGAAATGTAATCTATTTTGGGCATCAGTAGTATTGAAATGCATTTTTCTCTCTTTGCAACTTCAGACAAAGCAAGTAGCACAAGTTGGGTCAGACTAATTTTCTGTTGCTTTAAATGGGCTTTATTTAATAGCAGTGATTTCTTTTTAATGTAGTTTTATACATTTGCCCTCAGAAGTAAAAAAAAAAAAGTACAATGGATGTTTTGATAAATCAGTGTATTTTACAATTAATGTAAATTAAGTGATAGCCTATTTCTCCTGCTGTAATTTCAATGTATGAGCAATATGTGGTTAACAACATATGAATTAAGTTTGTGGATTCTTAAAAAGCAGTCTGCTGGTCTGAATGTTAGCTGCCCATATTTTAGGAATAGTGTAAAAACCCCAGTGTGAATAACTATTACTGTGCAACTATGCAAACTGTTCCTACTTGGTATACATAAGATAGTTTATGTTAGAAGCTAGAATTTACAATAGCTATGCAGTGTGCTTTGTTGTATTGGTCATTTCGGAGATTATTAACTTACACTTATTTGTACAGTGCCAAGAGGAGTAGAGTGTCATCCTTGCTTAAGATGCTCCTATAATATAATGGATAAAATATGTACAAACCAAGCCATTTCTTGGGCAATTTCTTGGGTTTTGTTAACAGATACTTTAAAGTAACTACAGTAAAAGCAATTACCCGTGATGTGTTAATGTAGCAGCCGTGCATTTATAGAGTTGTGTAAGGATAGGCGACAACTTTAATCGCAGTGTCTCACCAACAGACTGAGTATTTGTATAGTGAGCAAGTATAACTGTTGTATTATACCGATTATTCTAAAGATTATTATTATTTTTGTATCATAGAAACTCATTGTAACAGAATTTTATTAGAGACCTGGTGACGGCTACTTTAGAATAATTTTTGCCATTTGCTTACATGTGTATTTATTAGGATGTAACAGCATGTGTCAGTATTGTGTTGGATAATGTTCTCCTACAGTGTTTGACCAACAGTGAATGCTTTGGTGTTTTGTACGATGCATTTGATCTTAAATCCCTTTCCATAAACAGTGCTTGAATTTTGTTTTCCTTTCCTATTATGAAATAGTTACAGGGGTACTCAGAAGACACTTAAACAGTAGCTCCCAAAGTGCTTCAGAACTTGGTTGAAAACATTAAAACATTAGTTTAAGGGTTCTTTTGAAGCACATTTTATAGTCTTCTCTGCTTTGACACCTTGAATTTCAATTGATTACCATTTCCAGAGCAGCCTAATTAGCAAGGCTGTTTTATTCATTCATTCTTCAATAAAACACGTGCAGTACTAAATGCCTCTAAAATGTGTTTTGTATACATAAACCCCCAAAGTTCTGCATGACACGGTTGTCACTGGTGTTTCATAGAAAACATCTAGACTAAAGTAGTGGGCAAATCTTCAGGGAAGGCTGTGCAGCTAAGAAGCAGAAAGGATGGTTTGTCCAAGGTTCAACTGCTTGCTTAAAACTAATATTAGTTGTAATAAGCTTAAAACTTTCTTAGAAGAATAGCACAAGGAATTGACATAATTTTACTATTATTTTCCTGAAGTACTCTGGATAAGCACTGTTGCCAGGTAAGAAACAGAAAATTCCCCAAAGCTTTCTTTATCCAAGGCAGCTTTTATTAGATCATCCAACTTTTTTTTAATTCTCAGCAAGCCATAATATTACCAATAATTTTGACATCCAAAAAGTGATTTGAAGTTTTGCACTACTGCTTTAAATCTTTTCCTTCAGGGTAATTTATCTTTTAAGCACTGGTGACGATCCCCAGTGACATAACAGCTAGTAAAGCAGTATTCAGTTGTTGACTGAGATGTTACTGAAGATAGGCATGGCAAAATATTCAAAATATGACTGCGCTAGGATTCCAACTCTCATTATTCTACCAGCATTTTCCCTGTGGTATACTCTGCTCTTTATGCATCTGCATAATTTCTTCTTCGCCTCATTTTCTCAAGAAAGCCATTAAAAGGAGTATCATGAATCTGCACAGGTAGAGAAATCAGTCTGACTGCACCTCTATTTTGAGGTTTAGCGTCTTCATTTCCCTTTAAGCCTTAACATGAAAAAGATCCTTTGTCAAAGTGGACAGAATGAAAATTTGATATGCACTTTTTCTTTCTCTTTAGCAGCTGAATGTTCAAGAAGAACCATTCATTCTCAGCGTATGATGAAGGAAAATAGCATTTGGTAAGAAAAACATTTCGGTTTCAAGCTTCCAAATGGCATTTGTATTCTATGAGAGAAGGTTGAAGGGAGAAGCTTATAAAGGAAACAGAGATATCCCTTTGTAATGGGTCAGCACTGGAAATCACAACACTGGCAATAGGAACAATTGCTGATTGATTCTGTCTATTATGTTCTGGTCACGTTTTATGGATAGAGCTCTAATTTCTTCCTGTTGCTATAAATAGAAACATTTTGCTAACAAGTGGAGTCACGTCCTCTAATATGTGTAATACAGGTGTTTCCACTGTAAGAGTTTTGTGGGACATAGTAGAAGATTGAATTTAATTCATTGCCTGCTGATTTAATAGTGACAACTAGCTCAGGCCCATAACTTAATGCTCCTTTTTTGCAAATGTGCTGCTTACTAGTTGCAAAGACCTCGGCTTGAAATCAAACAATGAAAGCCCACCAAGGAGGAGAGAAAGCAGTCTGGGGAAAGTAACATTTATTAGATATTTCACACGTGCATAAAAAAAGAGACATAAACCATGTGGGAGCAGAGGATCCTTTGCTGATACAGAATTCAGTGTCCTTTGCTAGCTTCCTGAGTCAATACAGAGTAGCAGAAAAGTGATGCTTTGTACCGATACAATAAACCTGTTGGCACTCCTCTCCCACCTTGAAAAAAAACCCACCAAGCTTTTAGAAGGAAGAACCAGGTTTGCAGTAAAAGTATGTCCTTAAAAAGGGCTTTTGCTTTCTCAAAGGTGTTACAATTTATGTGTTGTCACATCCTTGGAAATCCTTGCTATGCTAGAAGTCATCTGTTGTGTAGGCTTGAAATCAGGCTTCGCATTCCCAACATTAGCCTAAATAGAGAAAGGGAACTATTAAGAACATTAAAATGGGACTTTAGTGAGTGTATTCATGTTGCAGTTAATTTAGTGTAATGTAATTTAATTTTAATTTAAAATAGTTATATTTTTCAAAGTATTCACTGGATAACTTTTCCTTTCTGATGATAGACTAACAGAATAACAGATTTGTGTTTTCTAGTAATT